GGTTTCCCTCCTCACATTTTAATCAGCTAATTACCAAATTTAGAAGGCATGTTTGAAATCTGCAAACTGTACTGTATTCTGACCCTCCAGGACCGGAATTGGGGAACCCTGCACTAGATGATGGGTCAGCTTCTTAGTCGCTTATAATTTTGTTATTTGCTCTTGCCTTCTCGTTATGTAACTTCTCAGCTGTGTTTTAATTCTGTCAGTGCTGTGATGCTCAGTCCCTCAGAATTAGTGTGTCTGCTCCATAGGAATGGGGGCCGAGAGCCGATCCCTATCAGCAGCATCCGTCACTGTCATTTATTCTTCTGTACTCTGCTGTTGCTTTTACCATCAATGCTTGTCTATGGACTCCTGTGCTTTATGTATTAGTTTTGCTTTGTGCTTTGGCACAGTACAAAGCTGTGTTGTGCTGTGCTTGATAATTAGTGCAAGGATGAAAGGATCTTGAAGCATCAGTTTGACTTGGGTGAACGGCATTCATTATCATCACCATTATTGTGATTATTTTTGTCATTTTGTTTTCGTGAAGCGGTTGATTATTTATGATCTCGCGCATAAATCTGCAGCTATAATTAGAGACTGCTGGTGAACATCAGCATTGTTGTTTTTAATCAGTCTGAATGTGGCCCCCCCTATTAGCCCCCTGCCATCTCTGGGAAGCCAAGCATCACAAAAAACAGACTCCTTCTCTTTTATTTTTTTCCAAGGCCTTTTAATAATACCCAAGAGTACCCCACGGCTCACTGTAAAGTCCTCATTTATTTCTGGGGGAGGACAAGAAGGTCTTTGTAGAGAAACAAACACAGAGTTCAGCTTGACAGCAGATACTAATGAGGGGTCGTGGGCGAGCCTTTTTGCGGGCGTCCCACAGCTGGGAGTCCACCGTCTGCCAAGAGCCCATCGTTGTTCAGCCTGGCCTAAGTTCGGGCTGGTCTCTGGTTTGGGCCGGTCTCTGGTTTGGGCCGGTCCCTGGTTCGGGCCACTCCATTTAATCAGACTACTGTCCTTGTCCCAGTATACATGTATGGGAGGGGAATCGATTTATTGACTCAAGTATGTCCGACTCCACTACAATAGGTGGCGATAGGGCTCCTTTCAGGCTGTTAGTATTGGGCTTTTTCCGGTTGACCCATTATGTCACAAACGTAAAAAAAAACATAATAAAACTGATAATAATGGATGTGTGGACAAATTAAGTGACACAAGCTCTAATTGCGATCTGGTCAGAAGAACATATAGAACAAGATCCGGATAAGAAAAAATGAAGTATTTTGTATATTATACTATGACAGCATGGTATTGGAAACTTTTCAAATATTGCAATGTGATTTTATTGTAATAAATATTTAGGTTTTTATGAAACAAAAAAGGTGGATTTCAACATAAATTTCTCAGTAACCCGTCTAGGGGTGATTTAAACACCAAGGATGAAAATGATTATGATTGTCTTGGAGTACAAATGCAGCGCTCATGCAAAAGTAGTGGAGGTAAACTTTAAACTGATTTTTAAACATATACTAGATAATCTTGAAAAGGAATAATCATTGAAATTGCAAAACTTGCTAGGTTTTTTTTTTTTTTTTTAAAAGAGTTTTAGACAGACTTAAACTCCCTTCACTATAATATCCATACCAAAATGAGGGTAAGAAAAAGCCTGATCTTAATCTAGCTGACTAATGATGTAAGAATTGAATGTACATAACATGCAATGTTGGTAATAATATGGCACATTGTCCAGTCCTGCTACAGACATTTTTTTAATTCAATACAAAATACCTGCCTCATGTAATGATGTCATTCAGCGCCGGTACCAATTTTTATGTTAGTGGAAAACCAACAACTTGAAGTACCGTAGTTTTGGTACCTTCTCGAAGTACCAAAAGTACGGTATTTCATGCTGTGGAAAAATGCCCTTTAGTCAAGCAGTGATTTGTACAGCCTTACAGCGATGTAGGTGCCGTATTGTTACGTTTGTGCAGGCAGGCGAGCAGGAAAACAGGTGAGTCGAGCCAAGCAGACAGGTAATTGGCTGGATAGAAGGCACACTAGGCACAACAAGCACGAGACACTACAACATCAATGACCGATCTGGGAGATAGTGGGAGACGCGGACTAATATACACAGGACAAGTCAAAAGGAACAGGAAACAGGTGATGACAATCTGGGATTAACACGAGGTAATGAGGTGGGCGTGGCACACACGAGGATCAGACACCGTATGTTGTACTTTTCTTTTCTTTTTTTTTACAAACGAGACGCATGGTATTCCTTGTGGGCTATGATATTATCCAAAGGCAGATGAATCCACTGTATGGCGCTGTCTGCTATGCTCCAAGGTTCTTCTGTGTACTGGCTTCTTCTGTTACTTCCGAGTCAAAGCCGGGGGGGGGGACTGTGGAGCATGCGCAGAGTGCCTAGGCCAGTTTGGGTCCGATTGAACATATACACGCAGGAGGAAGTCGACCAATTGCATTATCTGGGTGTCTTAGTCCGACTTAATGAAGTTCAATTTAGTACAATTTCAGTCAGACTAATATGTTTACATGTACTTTAAAAGTCCGGTTTTAGTCGGACTACACAATAATTCTGCTTTCTTAGTGTGTGGGGATGTGGAGACAGCCAGGGGGGTCTGAGGCCCTGAAAAAGTGCAGTGATGTGTAACTGCTGTCAGATATCTGCTGGTAGCAGACCGCACACAGATAACTGTATCTGGATTAACAGTCTCATATGGATTAGTAAAGAAACACTGGTGTTATTATGTTATGTATTTACAGTACTAGTAGGGATAATCCTGTTTATATGATTATTTTATTGGAATTTGTTTTCCTCTGTAGCAAAGGATTTTGCTATAAAGGCGTGGTAATTACTGAGTAAAATGGTAACAGACTTGTGTAGTAAAGGAAAGTGGAAAATTTGGTCAATACTACTGTTTAATTCCATGAATAATCTCAGGAAGTATGTGCTTGTCAAGTTCTAAGAGGCTGGATTGAGTAGCAGGCAGTTAATGTTTATTGCTGGTAGTTTCTTTCTGTTTTTCCTTACAAACTGACGTCTGAATTCCCTTGTCATCTGTAAATAATAACTCATCACCAAGGCACGCTGCAATGAAGCGGCTTTGACGAAAGCACAGTGACACCGTAAACAATGGGGTGATCTGCGCATTGATGCCCCCACCCTGCACACAGCTGAAACTTCATTCTGCCAACATACATAATCACACAATGACTACGCAGGACAGCAGTCAAGTCCAAGACAAGACCAGGACTAGTCAAGACCAAATCAAGACCGAGTCCAAAGAGGTTTGAGTCCAAGTCAATTCTGAATCCAAAGAGGTTTGAGTCCAAGTCAAGTCTGAATCCAAAGAGGTTTGAGTCCAAGTCAAGTCTGAATCCAAAGAGGTTTGAGTCCAAG